AAAAAAAAAAAGAAATAATTTCCTTCTCCTTAATGCTCTCTGTGGTGAACTGAAAGCTCTGAAATTCTTAAATGAGTTTTAAACTGACTCTCCATGTGGAAAAATAAGTTAGCTTGGCTTTGACCTAGGCAAAGAATCTATATTCAACTTGTCTTATCCGTATATACTACTGTGCTATCACTACCACATCAGGACACAGCGGGATTTTACTTCGCAGCATACAGTTAATGCTGACATGAGGGCAAAGGCTTTGGGGCTGGGAACCACACTTGCCCATCCTTGACATACTACTTGCAGCTCCAGGCTCTGACCACGATTAGCTGTCAGTTATTCAGACAGCCCTTAACAGCCCAAAGGAACCATACCTAATACTCCATGCACCTGACACCAGTTTTTCATGGTTTCCTAGAAATGCTAAGGTTAATCCTTCAAGATGAGAATATCCCTTTCCATTCCCTTCTTAAGTCTGTCAGGAAACCAGAATCTGATTTGCTTTATCACTTGGAGGGAGAACAGCCTGCTAGGGATCAAATTTGGGGGTTTCTTACTTCTAAAGCTTCTTCAGATCCCAACACTTTGGCATATAGCTCACAGATTTTCTTCTTCCTATAATAAAGAACCAAAAATTGTTAAGTAATAAGTTATGGTAAAAATAAATACTATGGATTCTAGGGTGCTTGCCAATGAACCAGATTTATCACAGAAAAATGAAACTTAATGGTTTTCTGTAACTACATAAAAGAAACAAGTCACTGAATTTCTGTACTCAGATTAACTTACTATGCCTCAGTACAGTTATTTGATGTAAAGAGTCAATAAAATGTTTCATTTCTTACATTTTCACCCCTTTTACTACCGGGGTGAAATACAAACAGGGCTGGTCAAACAACTCAGCTGATTAAAGGGCCTGCAAGCAGGCACAGGGGTTGGGGGTTCAATCCCCAGGCCTGCCGTGCTGAGACAGATCCCAGGGTGTGCTGAGACAACAACTGAGACTGGGTGTGGTGGCACATGCCAGTAATCCTAGCTCTTGGGAGGCTGTAAACAGGTGGATGACTATGAGTCTGATCTAGTAGTGAGACCCTGAACACCTGTAGACCCTAAAACACAAAAAAAAGATAAAAGCAAAGAAAATAAAAGTAAATTAAACTCAATATTAGGAATTGATTCTTAGATAAAACTAACTTAATCTTTTAAGCATAAGATGTGCTATTCTTGAAGAAGGTTATAGTCATTTCAATCTCATAATCTGTCTTTTGAACAGAATGGTCTGTGGACAGGATACCTTGTGCTCCAAAGGGTATCTAGGGGATGCACATAATACATTGGATGATATTATTTCAAACATGGCCTTTGGCTATCCTCATAATTCTTTAATCAAATGAAGAATACAAAATACAGCATATTTTATGTCTGACAAATCAGTATCCATATTATCTAAACTCTTTTTTTTTTTTTTTTTTTTTTCGGTACCAGATTGAACTCAGGACTTTGCACTTACCAGGCAAGTGCTTATTCTACTGGGCTATCTCTCTGGTCCCTCTAAACCCTTCTTGAAAGAAGAAACATTTTAAAATCATAACCATTCAACAACTTCTGACATTGCCAGTCCTATGGATGACCCACTACTATTATGGACTACTGGACTATATTGGAATATTTTGCTGAATTCATGCACCTACAATATTTAAAGTTTCCATGTTTTTAAAAGCCCCCTGCTTCCTGGGCTAAATGCCTTTCAGTCCTCTCCTGTGAGAGAGCTGGGGGGGTCTGAGTTCAGTAATAAATGGCTGTTTAAATTCCAAAAATAAAATAAAATAAAATCATAACCACTTCTGGTGAGTCTTTTTTAAAAGTTTTAATTTGTTAAAGTCACCCATTTTAGAAATCAATGGTTCTATGCCAGGATTTGTTTGAATAGGTTTACACTGAACAAGTTAAATACTTTTTATATTTACTTTGTTAGTCTTTATATAATTTAAACAAACAAAAGTGGCCAAAAATATTTGTTAAAAGCTAACAAGCAACTTGAAAAAATATTTGCTAAAGAGTAAGGCAAAAGGTTTAATTCAGCTCTGTAAGATAAGCATCAAAAACTAGCAAGACAAATGGCCAAAAATACAGTGTGTACTGCAGGGAGATCTAGTTTACTAGTAATAAAAGAAAAATGTTTTTAAACACAATTTTAGAGCCAGCCAGATAGCACAGTGGACTAAGTGCCTGCTTGAGCAAGTCCAAAGATCAGGGTTCGATCCCTGATACTGCATGCTGTTCTGGCCCTGGCCCTGGGCACAGTGAGTCGGTGACTGGGATCAAGCATGGTGGTGCACGCCTGTAATCCTAGTGTTGGGGAGGCTAAAACAAGAGGATCACTATGAGTTCAAGCTATGTAGTGAGACCCTGTACAAAATACATACATAAAAAGAAAGAAAACACATAATTTTATATTGTCAGTTACTTCAGAAAATGTTCATAAAACATGACCCCAACTTTCCTAGGTAATGTGGAACAAAGTAGAGGCTTATGAATCTATTTAAATACATACCATTTATAAAACTCTCAGAACTTCTATCTCAAGGGAATACAGAGAATTCTACAGAGAATTAGTCAGAAGGAGGAGGTGAAACTATAAACGTTGCGTATTGCTATGCCATTTTCCCATTAAGGTGCTTTTTTGTTTTGGGTTTATTTATTTATTTTTTTTTTTTGGCAGTACTGGGGATTGAACTCAGGACCTTGCACCTGCCAGGCAAGTGCTCATTCTACTGAGCTATTTCTCCGGCCCCCATTAAGTTGTTAAGGCAGAAACAAATGTCACTCTGAGATAACATCACACAATGTAAGGTAGATATTTAAATTTCAAGTTAGTCAGGAAATCTTGGTTCTGCCTAAAAAAAAACCTTTTGAGATGTTTAGCCACTGTGTGAAATCACAGCCAAATATCTACCACCAGGCTAGTATTTATTTTATTATTAATACAGAAAAAAACAGGAAATCCAAAAGAAAATGTCAAGCTTAGTATAGTGTAATGAAATATACATGTGTTATCTGCTATTCTTGACTTTGTTAGAAGTTAGCTACCATGGTTTGAATGTGTATGTCCCTCCAAAATCCGTATTTTGGAACTTAACCCAAAGGTAATAGTATTAAGGTAGGACTTCTGTAGAAATGCTTAAGTCAGGAGGGCTTAGTTTGTTTTCTATTATTTTTCTCTATGCATCTTGTAGGAAAAACTCTACCTCTCAATCACTGTAAGAAAAACACAAATATGTAACATTAACTTAATACATGTAATATGGGCAAAAGGATGTGCTAATGGGGCCCATAGCAAAATACAGAAAGATTAATTTATTGGGGTTGGGAATATTCATGAAGTACTGCATCTACTAATGGTAGTTGCCTGTTGTTATAGTGCAATAAATACAATGTAAAGTTAACCTTTTTTATTTTTTTATTTGTGTGTGTGTGTGTGTGTGTGTGTGTGTGGCCAGCTCAGCCCACCAGGGGGCGGGGCTGGCTGGCATGTGGTGCTGAGGGATTGAACCGCAGTCCCTGTGCTTTGCTAAGCTTGTTTGCTCTAAGTAGGTGCTTTAGACCACTGAGCCATCTCACCAGCCCCTAAAGTTAACCTTTGATAGATTTTTCAGATGCAAATTCTTTACCTTATTTCCTTATGAAGTTTAGCAAGTCGATCAGCTTTCCGGGCAAGGATGAAGCTGGAATGAGAGGGGACATTTGAATGATCAGGTAATAGTCATTTATCTTAAGAAATTCTACTTCTTTTTTTTTTTAAATTATATTTATTTATTTATTTATTTATTTATTTATTTATGTGTGTGTGTGTGTGTGTGTGTGTGTGTGTGGCCAGCTCAGCCCACCAGGGGGCGGGGCTGGGTGGCATGTGGTGCTGGGGGATTGAACCGCAGTCCCTGCGCTTTGCTAAGCTTGTTCTAAGTAGGTGCTTTAGACCACTGAGCCATCTCACCAGCCCCTCTACTTCTTTTTGAACTGGTCTTACTGCCATCTAGCCCTCATCCTCTACTAAACACTGTACTGTCTTTCACCTCCATGTCCAAAACCCTGGCAGGCTGTGAGTTCTTAAACAATAGTCACTTTGTACAGAATATTTTACTCCTAAAGCTCAAATACAGTAGGCATATAGTATGAAATCAAATGCTGGATGAATTAATGTACTAAATGATTATCTTTGCAATGAGTGTTACCTTCTTCCAAACACTTGATAAAAGTTGGTCAAATATTAATAGGAGTCCATAGTGGATGCCATGGTGCACCCCCAGATTCTCCTTCAAGACCAGTACTCGGTACCCTTCACTCACAGGTGAAATCCTTCCACCGCAGTTATACTCAGTAGGATCAGAAATGTCTGGGTCACAGTTCCCGTCTTCCCTGGAGGCAAGTGGTGCTAAAAGACCAGCTCTTGGGTGAGGTAAATACCAAGGCTGGTCCCTTTAGCTCAGTTCAGGGCAATTCTGCAAGGATAGCCTAACTCCAGAACTTTCCATGGAATGGCTGAGGACTTTAGTGGATGTTAGAGTCCAATTGTCCCTCAGCCTGATCCTGATTTGTTTCCTTTCTCTATAGGGCAGTAATCCACAGAGCACTTCCAAATAAACCTGATGTGCCTAAATATCTCTGAGTCAGCTTCCTGGGAAATTGACTTCACAATAGTCCTCAAACCAAGCAGATCGGTAAAACTCAGTTATATTCTGTTTCTCTTTACTCAATTAGATTTTACTTATTATA